ATATAATAATTATTTTTAAAAAAAGTATAAATATTAATAAAAAATATTTTATAATTTAAACTAATTCAAATTATAAAATACTAATTATCTGATGGCCACTTCATGATATTGTGAACTCTCTTCTGTTATGTAGTCTTTATTATACAATTTAAATCAATTCAAATTGTAAAACAAAATTCTAGAATATCAATTAAGTTACATCTAGATTTAATAGTGTTAACAATTTAACAATTTTATTGATATAAATCTCCATGCACTGGCTTAATGATTAAAATTAATAAATAAGAAGGATTTCCTTTCGTGAATTATCTCACCAAACCTCATGAGATCTTCTTCTTTTGGTTCTTGTAGTTGCAAAGAATTGGGGGGTACTCCGGATCTCGAGTCTTCGCTTCGGTTATCCTGCAAGGCTCCGAGGTTGGTCTTCGGGATGAACACTTTGATACCTAAATCAGCAATAATCAGAACTACCAGTTATGGAACGAGAGTTAGAGCTAGGTTTAAGGTCAGTTTCAAGTAACTTTCTGAGGTGGATACTGGAGGGTATTTATAGGCTTTCAAGGGAGTGTCCACGTGTTAATCGGGAGCATAGGGGACGAGCTCGAGTTTGATCGAGCTCGTCACCCTTCAATCAAGTCAAGGTAGCGAGATGCTAGGAGCTGTTCCGGCCGTTCGAGATTGTGCACCTCGGACAATTGTGAGGTACATGATCTCTAACTACCTGCATGTCTCTATCTCATGACCTCAGTTTGTCCACGTATCTCTGATATCTCATTACCTCTGTTTACCACCACTACAGTTTCTATATGTTTAAAATATACATTAATTGCACTTGCATCTTACAATTTAATGATCTTACAATTTAATGATCTTAGATCAACTTATAAGGTACATCTCAATCTAAAAATTGAAATTTAAATCTCTTCAATCTAATTTGTAACTCTATTAAAAAATATATATATATTAATTACTGTCGTTAAAAAAAAACAACAACAACAATTTTATTGGTGTGGTAACAACAACCAAGAAACAAGCCCTTTCCGCCCCCACCGAAATACAGCTTGATTTCTGTTGAATTGACCAAAACAACCTTTCCCTTCTGGATGGGATCAGAAAACGTGTGACAATAGACATTGGGATACCGAACTTGGTATTATTATGCATTGGGAACAGTGGACAATCCAGCTGGCCATCACTAAATGGGCACTGGGTGGGTTCAGAGTTAAGAGACCTGAAGAGGATCCTAGGGAAAGGCACACGAGGCAACGCGCTGGCTAAGGATATATATATATATATATAT